GTGAGGGTCCGTGCTGCGGACATTGCCGTCCAGCTGGTCTTTTATGTCAGCAGCTTTAAGCAAGGCGGTTGGGTACTTGGCAGATACTTGAATCGAGAGGCTAGTTGTCTGCTTGACAGGAAGTACTTCCCGTGTCACCCCTCCCGTAGCTTGTGGAGATCCATGCGTTGAGTTGACCTTGCAGAGAATATTTATAGATTTATAGATTGATAGATGAATCTTAAATTATATTAGACTTATGTTGTACACAAGTCGACTCAGCTGTTATAAATACATGTACTTTATGACATACATCCTCCATGGATGGATGTATGTACATATTGACTGACGCCATTCCGAAACCCCTGAAGAACATTGTAGAATGGATTCCAGATGCCCCCAGCTCTGCCGATCACGGAAGAACAGAAGGACGAAGATAAAGTACGTCTAGATTCTAGCATAAGCTGCGTTCCTATGTAGTAATATAGCATATTTCTGCCTGTGCACGATGTACATATGTACATATGTAGCTAGCCCAGGTACCCATATAGTCTAAGGTGTTTATAGGTACTCTAGGTACTTTAGGTAGAGATGATAGATGAAATAGGGATAAACATGGATCATATGGAATTCTGGAAGGTTTGAAAGTTCCCACTTGCACTTTTCATATCTTTCAAAGAAGCTTCTTATCAGACTCCCGAGGTCTTTAAGGGGAAAAAAATCCAAAAGCCCCAAGTACCTGCCGAGGCCGTCAGGTGGACCTTCAGGACTGTTCCCGATCGTCATCCCCTCCGCAGACTCTTTCATCATTGGGATCTCCACCTCCATTCCCTCTTTGCGTTCCAAACCCTTTTCAAAACCCCTACACAATCCTCCGATAACCTTCTTTTAATTTTATTCTTTCCCCCCACACCGCCCTTTGGCTCTCCTCTCGCGCCGGTGCACTTTTATCAGGCCCGGAGTGACGAGACGCCTTTCCCTGTTCCTGCCGGACCATGGCGCTGGAAGTACAGCCGCCCGACGGTCGCAAACGAGTGAAGGTCTATGAACTAAAAGATAATGATTGGTTTGACCGAGGAACCGGCTTCTGCACCGGTCAGATCTTGGGAGTGAGTTGTCGCGTGTTGTGCGCGCACTGGGGGTCTTGCGATGTTTCATCGCGCGCAATCCCGAGCGCATCACCATCATCATCAGTAACTGATCAACTTTTGACTAGGAGGAGCCTCGCATATTCGTCGAATCTGAAGACCTACCCAATCGCGTGCTACTCGAAACGCGGATCACCAAGGACGATGGCTATCAAAAACAACAGGGTACCTATCCCGCCATTATCATCTCATCGCTGTTTGGTTCTCTTTTGACTAACTATATCATGCGATCCAGAGACTTTGATTGTCTGGACTGAGCAGAATGGCACGGATATGGCGCTGAGTTTCCAAGAGGCGGAAGGTTGTGCGGTCATTTGGTGAGGAATCAACAAGAAAATCTTTGCGCGCATGAACTAACCCCATCAAAGGGACTTTGTCAATGCCGTCCAACAACATCTCTTGAGTCTCACTTCAGCAGGTAAGGTTTTTCGCGTATTGGAAGCTGGCAGCTCTAATTGTTTTCCAAGATGATGCCTTGTCCGACGACCTCGACAGCTACCAGTCCATCGTATTACCAAGTCCCGAACTCGGAAACCTCCCCGAAATCGAACAGATTGTACGAGCTGCGAGCATGACACAGGGCGGTCGAGATGCGCTATCTAAATACATCATTCGCGACGAGTACATCGCCAAATTGGTACCGCTAGTGGAAACGGCTGAGGATTTGGAGAGCTTGATTGATCTGCATCGTTTGTGCAACATCATGAAATCTCTCATTCTACTCAATGACAACACCATCATCGAAACTGTCGTCGCCGATCATGTCATCCTCGGAGTGGTCGGGGCTCTGGAATGTATGCTCTACCCAGATTCACCCTGATCCAAGTCCGATACAATTGGATACTAACGAAAACAGATGACCCTGAATTCCCCACACATAAGGCAAACCATCGACAGTACCTCGCAGACAAATCGAGATATAAGGAAGTCGTTCCGATCAAGGACCCGCTCATTCGCCGCAAGATACGGAGTACATGGAGGCTGCAATATCTAAAAGACGTGGTGCTGGCTCGGATCTTGGACGACCCGACATTTTCAGTGCTCAACTCTCTCATATTTTTCAACCAAATGGAGATTGTGAATCATATCCAAGCAAATGGGCCCTTCCTGCGAGATCTATTCCACGTTTTCGACCCGAGAAATCCGGACCAGAAACGCAAGGATGATGCCGTGCAGTTCCTTCACCAGTGTGCCGGCATCGCGAAGAACTTGCAGGCGCCGTCGCGGGCCCAATTATTCGCCAATTTTATTAGCCATGGGTTGTTCGCCGTGATAGCGTTTGCCGTCAAGCACTTGAATCCAGCTATGCGCACGACTGGCATTGATATCTTGTCGGCTCTGTTGGATCATGATCCAGTCATGATGAGGGGTTACATGCTCAAGGCTGTCAACGAGAAAAAGACACCGCTCACAGACACCTTGATCGACCTTCTTCATGTGGAGACTGACCTTGGCGTCAAAAACCAACTTGCTGATGCTATCAAGGTTCTCCTTGATCCTCAGATTCCTCTGCAGGACCCGCTTGGTCGGGCTGGACCCGATTACTTCAAAGTTCGCAACAACAACCTTCTCTCTGATGCATTTGTCCAGCAACATTTCGATGAGTCCTCAAAACGGCTTTTCCAACCGCTTAAACAGCTTGCAAATCGCACCGCCCGTAAGTGGTGAGATCCTTCCTTTTGATGAAGACTTTGCTAACTTTGAATCTAGTTAATGATTTGACATTCCAAGAGGTCACCCTCTACTCGCATCTTGTTGATATCCTCACCTTCTTCGTCCGCCAGCATCTCTTCCGCACACGTAACTCTATCCAGAGTGAATCTCTCGCGCCTCGCGTTGCCCAACTTCTGCGGGCACCCCAGAAACACCTCAAACTCGGTGAGTGTACAGCCCTTTTGACCCAAGAGCCATAGCTAATACCGACGACAAGTCGCCCTCAAATTCTTTCGCACCTTGATCAGCCTCCAAGACACCTTCTACCAAGCTCTCATGACACACAATAACACTTTCGAGTTGATTCTCGACATCGTGTACGAGACAATGCCTCGCGACAACCTGCTCAACTCGGCCTGTCTTGAACTTTTTGAGTTTATCAAGCGGGAAAACATCAAGCCTTTTATCCTCCATGTGGTCGAAAAATATCGCGAGAAACTCGAGAATATCATTTATGTTGATACCTTCCAGAGCCTGATTCTTCGATATGACCAGATGCAGGGATACGGAGCCGAGGCCGACGCGACACTGTTCAGTCAGGATGAAAGCAACGCTCCGCGGAGAATTCCTCTCAATGGCCAGCGCTGGCAGGGTGCTAGAGAGATGGACCCCGCGGAAGAGGATTATTTCAACACGTCCGACGACGAAGATGAGGTAGGTACCTTTTGGATTGAGACTGTTTGAGCAAACAACTGACCATTTAAGATAAAGTGGACACAGGACCGGGTGGCCACTGCGGATGAACATTCAAGCGGATCTACCTCCGCGGTCGTCAAACCATTGGTTGACTACCCAGATGACGACGACGAGGACATCATGGACACCAAACCGGAAGGGGCGGAACAACAGCCAGTGGCCAGTCCAACCGAGGCTTCCACTGAGGCTCCTGCATCATCACCCACCCAAAACCCCCCTGCACCGCCGGAGCGACTTGCGGAGAAGCGTCGCCGCGAGGAAGAAGACGATGATGAGCTTAGCAAGCTTACTGCAGGACCCAAACGAAGAAGTTCAACTAGCAGCAATTCTGGCGCCTTCAACATGAATCGGAAAAGCAACCTGTCTGCTGGCTCACTGGCAGACAAGAATGCCTCACCGGGTGTATTAAACAAAGTCACCAGCGCCGCGCCCAAGAGAATCGCCATAAATATTGGATCGACCGCAAAATCGCCCCTATCAGAAACTGACACCTCCCGCACAGAGGTGACGAGCGAGAGTTACGAGAAGGAGAATCCCAACGACAGTCAGGGTAACGAGGGTGGATGAATGTACCCCATAAGCCAGGCGTTTGTCTTGAATTAAGTTTTCTTTCCCATGACCTTGATACCAGACTCGGTTGCTGGATTTCCCATATTTCGTCTCCTGCTGTTCTTTGGGCGACGCCCTTTCTTCTTGTTCCGTTTCTTTTTTTTTTTTTCCAGGGTGC